GTGTGTGTGTGTGTGTGTGTGTGTGTGTGTGCATGTGGAAGTCTCAGGAAAACCTGGAGTTGGTTCTCTCCATTTACCATATAGGTCCCATGGATCGAATTTAAGTCATTATAGGTTTCATTACAAGTTCTTTTGTCCTCTGAGTTATGTTGTCTGCTCCCATTTTGCTGTTTTTCTTTTAATTAATAAGTTTACTTTTTACTGAAAATAAATTCTTCTCTCATACAATACATCCTGAATACAGTTTCCTCTCCCTCTTGTCATTTTTCAATTGAGGTTTTCACTGTGACCTGTGTGAATACTATATTTATGTTATATTCACCCTATCTTTCCCCCTCAGCACTCTTGTTCCCTCACTCACGCTTAAATTCATGACTTGGCTTATTGTTCCTTAATTGTACACACACACATAAACACACCCTACTAAATTTATATAGGTTTTTCAAGTGTTAGTGTTAGTGTGTGTGTGTGTGTGTGTGTGTGTGTGTGTGTATGTGTGTGTGTATGTTTAGTGTGACCACTTGAGCTCAGATAACCTATCAGGAGGCTCATCCCTGAACAAAAAGTTTGAAGACAGTATTAGAAAATGAAAATATCTCCTATATTCATGCCTTAGCAAATGACAATTACACCCAAACCATTCTGCAGATTCAGTATAATACTGATCAAAATCCCTAGACATCCTTCACAGAAATAAAAGAAAAAAAAACTCCTAAAATTCACATTGGGTCACATAAGACCCCAGAGAGTCAAAGCAATGCCAAACAAAATAAAACAGGGCTGGAAGGATTATCATTCTAGATTTCAAGCTCTATTATTTCCAATAGAATAATCAAGGAAAATCTCTGATATAGTGACTTTCAAAGGACTTATATTTTCCACTTAAGGTGCTCCTTTAAAAATTCAAATGAGCCAGGAGTTGGTGGTGCACACCTTTAACCCCAGCACTCAGGAGTCAGAGGCAGGCGGATCTCTGTGTGTTCAAGACCAGTCTGGTCTACAGAGCCAGTTCCAGGACAGCCTCCAAAACAATACAGAGAAACCCTGTCTTGAAAAACCAAAAAAATTGGAATGATACTTTAATTCAAAGACAAAAGTGTATATCAGATAATCCATCTTTTTTATATTGCACACTTTGTTTTTGATCACCCCCAAACCAAGCTGAATCATTCCAGTCTGTTTTATATCATCTGAGCTTTAATATCTTCCGTTTTATTTTCTCTTCTTTTATTTCCATAATGTTCAAACACTTTAAATATATCCAATTGTTTTTCTTACTTTTTTATTTTATATCTTTTTGATCACATTCTTGTTTACAATTACCTCAAATGTTAACATATCTATTTGACAACTGAATGGTATTTCACATCTCTACTTTCTTTCCAAATCTTCTAAGAATGTACTAATTCACTTTTTACTCCCTCCTTCCATGTAGCTTGTTCTAATTGGTTTTTCTGACTTACTCTCCTAGTCCTTATTAGCCATTTTAAAGTTTATGAATGCTTTTGCAAGTACTTGTGCTTGTCATTCCCTGTTACATATTATTTAAGTGTTTAACTTTTAGTTACAGGAAGATATTCTTTTATAAGTCATTTTGAGAAGGCCTATTTAATCATTTACTTATATTTGTACATAGAGCATACACATGTTAGGTAGAGTTTCAGATGCTGAAGGAATAGCAGTGAACAGAAAAATGTCCCTACTATAATGGAATTTCCAGCCATTTGGAATGAAAGATATATTTTTGTCAGTGCTGTGAAGAAGACAAATAACAAATGGTCAGGAGAAGGAGGATTACTATTTGTTATGGTAAGATGATCAAAGAATTTCTCTTTACTATACAGTCCAATGGGACTGAAGGTCGTGTGGTCCTTGGGTACTAAATGCTCTGTCTTACTTTACTTGTGTAAAATTAGATTTATGTTTACCTAGATCTATGAGTTATACAATTATGGAATAACAGTGATTTCTTTTTCCTTTTGGCATTTCCAAGATACGTTTTTATTGTCTTTTTGACTTCTTCTATTACCCATAAGATATCTGATGTTAACCAAATTGATGGCTCTTTGTTCATCCACTTTTTCGTACTCTTTGAAGCTTTGTGCTGTGTTAGCTTGGCTCTTTTTTAATTTATTGACTTTGCAGCTCATTATGGTACTTGAATCTACAGATCCATCTACTTCAGCAGTTCTGGAAAAGCTCATCCATTAGTATATTGAAGATTGTTCCTCCCTCACTTTCTCTATTCTCTTATGTTTAGAATTTTCAGTATCCCTTGAACCTTTCCCCTGTATTCTTGTTAAAATGGTAGGAAAATATTCATTCCTCATATTTCCATTGTTTATCTGTCTGAAATGTAAACTGGTCAATTTTTTCCTCATATATACTAATCTGTCTTCAGTAATATCAATTCTGCTAATAATTAAATTTTGTAGTGACTTAATTTTTTGTCATTTCACATATGTCACTTTAAGTAGGCCATTTTTCAAACCTGTGTTTTATTTCTCTCTCTTCAAAATCTTTGTGATTTTTAACAACAGATCATTCCTAATCTCCATTTGATAATTATATTGTATGAGGTATTTAGAGTAAGTCTAATTTGGTTATATGGTTTACCAGATAATTGACCATTTTTTAAGTCTTTTGTTGAGGTTTACAATAGTCTTTTTACCAAGCATTCACCCTTGGCATCTGAGACTAATTTTATGCTAATTTCTCAATTTGAAAGTTTTAGATTTAGCAGATAATGTATATTCATTTGAAAATCAGTCTAAGATTAAATGAGGTTGAATTTCAATAAAAATGTCTGTCCTTTCTGTCTACCCACTTCGTTTTTGAACTTTTGTGCTATGGCTTATTCTGTCTTGCACATTTTATCTAGTTCACCTCTTTTGCTGAGTCTAGTTCTAGTTTATAGACTCGCAGAGTCCCAGTTTATACCTGTTGTCCTAATTATTTATAAAGCCTTTGCTCTCTCTCTCAAAAGTGTTCCAGTTCAGGCAACAAATTGTAGGACCTTCCCTTTCTTAGGGATGTGATTGGGATCCTGGAGAAAGAAAAGAACCAGACTGTTTAATTGACAGAAAAGATCTCAAACATGAAAGCAACAATGTATGTCAGTGAAGAGTTTATTCAAGTTATGATCAAACGCAGTTAATGGATTAGATTTTCATATAATTCTAGCTGCTATTTCATTTTTTAATCTGGATAGCTGAAGGATATCTCTGTGTCTTTTGTTCTTTTTAAACTTTAATTTCCTTTTATTTAGAATTCAAAACAAAATAAAAATTGAGTTCAAAAGTATTTGGTGAAACTATATGTGGCATTCCAGCTGTCAGTCATCAATCAAATATACCTAATTTAATAATTTTGAAAAGCAGAACTTTAAAGTTTGGCTAAAGTTTAATACAAAGCACATAAAGTCTGTGAAGTATATTTTAAAAATCAAAATGATTTTTGCGCATTCAAATAGCCATTCAATGCCTAACTTTATTGAAATTTTTATTTCTTGTCCATTATGGATATCTATAAGATATTCTTATTGGCATTCTCATTGTAGGTGAATAATTTTTCCTTCTTTTTGACTCTAGTTGCTTTTATTTTCATTGAGAAATATTTCATTTTTATAAATATTTTTCACAAAATAACATGTAATAAAATAAAAAAAAACCATTACATTGAAATTGGGCAAGTCAAACCAACAGAAGGAAAAGAGCCTCAAGGGAAGGAACTAGAATCAGAGACCAACTCGTTTGTACACTCAGAAGTCCCATAAAAACCCTAAACTTGAAGTCATAATATATACACAGAGGACCTGGTGTAGACTCCTGTAGGCCCTGTGCTTGCTGCTTAAGTCTCTGTGAGTTCATATGTGTTTTGATCATGTTGATTTGGAGGACCTTCTTCTGGTGACATCCATCCCTTCTGGCTCTTACATTCTTTACACCTCCCTTCTGCTGGGTTGCATGAGCTCTGAAGGAGGGATATCCTTTTTAATTACCAGTAAAGGATTTGGTTGGAGTTTTTAATCAGATGTAGGAATTTATATTCTCAGAGAGTTTCTTGCTTTAAGAAACTGACCAGCAACTGTAGGTCATGTTCTTAGTCTGAACTTTTGCTGTGACACATTAAGCTAATGAGATTTTAGAGCTTTGCCAGCTGAGTTGTGATAACTTGGAAAATTTCTCCCATTTAAGCATCAGCAAACTCACAAATATCACCAAGCACATTTATTTGAACTAGTAGAGGACTGCTCTATTTTAAAAAAACATGTTTTTTACTGTAATATATTTATGGGTAGTCCAACATCCTTCCAGGAATTAAAGTAGATAATATACTCATATTCTGGGGCCCATCCCTTCTTTGGCACTCTTTCTTCCAGGACTATCACATCTAGTATTCTAGATTTCCTGGCAACTTGGCCTGTAACATTATGTATGCCAAGAGAATTCTAGATTTGTAGATCATATACAAGAAAAAAGAAATGGCTCGGGAAATTTCTCACTCAGTGAAGAGCTCATTTCATATGTATTAGGACCTGTTTGAATCCCTTGAATACATGTAAAAAAGTTGGAGCTCACATGAAATTTGTATTAAAATATATAACTTTTATGGTTATGGTTATAATGACCTTTAATATCCATATGAGATCATTCATCAATAAAGACAGCGTTTTTTACTAGAGATGTCATAGCACAGAGAATAGTCTTGTTCTCAGCTTGTATTGTACATAGGGCAGTGTTGGCGGTGGCTTTGCTAGTAAGATATGTTACATGTATGATTAGATATGTGTTTTGTCAGTAGTCAGTAATTGCATACCTATTAGTTAACATGGCAATAATTTTCAGTCATCATCATTTGTCCTACTCACCAGTAGGTACATCAAATAGACTCCTACTTTATATCACAGGAAATATTTCAATTAATATTTACCAATGGCATTGTGGATCCTCATCAGAAACCTACTGAAATATTGTTTCTTCTTGTTCTCTCTGTTCTAGGAATATACTATTGATGTATTTTTTAGACAGACGTGGCATGATGAAAGACTGAAATTTGATGGACCCATGAAGATCCTTCCACTGAACAATCTTCTGGCTAGTAAGATATGGACTCCTGACACCTTCTTCCACAATGGCAAGAAATCAGTGGCTCACAATATGACCACACCAAACAAGCTTCTTAGACTAGTAGATAATGGGACCCTCCTCTATACAATGAGGTAAGAGAATGGTAACTGCCCACTCAAAATATTTTGGAGCTAGGACTTTTATTGAAAGTAATAGGTTTTTACACATGTATCTTATGGTTTAATATATACTCAATAATATATACATATAAATTCAATAGTATTATATACATACTATTCTTTCAAGTTTATATATTGCTATGCTATGTATTTTGAAAAGCATATCTGTATATACTTCAAGTTTATATATTTGTACATACATATTGACGCATAAGCACACCTTTAACACATTTACATGTATACACACATTTGTTAATTGTTGATCTCAGTGCCTGTGCCACTGGTGTTATGTTTAGGAAGTGGTCTCCTGTACCAACTCGTTGAAGAGTATCTCCCACTTTCTCTTCTAAAAGTTTCAGTGTGGCTGGATGTATGTTGAGATCTTTGATCCATTTGGACTTACTGTAGTCAAAGTGAGTCCTGCTACCATACAGGCTAGCAACAGACATTTATAGTTTATATTTGATGCTACTTTATAGGTATGGACAGTGCAAATTTTATGGGATCATTCAGGCTTAGTCTAGAAATTCAAAGGAAAGATAAGGAGGCCAAGAGATATACAACAAGGCTAAACTCCCTCGGCAGCCCTGAGAGGAAGGTATATGTAGCCATGAGAGTGAAGCTGAAAATACAGGCACTTAGACATGCCAGGAAATGCAATTTCTGCTGAGGAAAACTGATGAAAGTGACTAGAGCCAGACCAAGGAATTAACCATCTAGACTATAACTGGAAAGGTACTAAGATTCAAGGCTACATGAGTTCTTTCTCCTCCTGAGATTCTAAACTTAGAGGTATAGAGATTTTTGCATTCCTTTCTGAGTTTTGGTCTTTTCATTTGCCAAATTCCTCCTGTCTCTGTTCCTATTCCTCCTATTTTGAAATGTGAATGTTTAATATTTTTCATTGTAAATTGTAAGAATTTATTTTCATCTTACAGGACATCATAGTTAAGTGTTTGCCTTGAGTATCAGTAAAGGGTTTGGTCCTTTCAGCAGCACTAAAACTGAAGGGAAAGAATTAATGTGGTTTGGATGAAAAAGAGATATATAATGTTAGTGCCATATTTTTATTTGCAGGTTAAATATGGCTTGAGGAAGTGTGTTTGGGTGTCAAAGTTTACAAGGCATGGACTTGTGATGAATAATCTTGTTTGGCATCTTCTTTGAAATTGAGGAGTGACTAGGAAAGTGCTGAAGCATACCTCCTTGTGTGGGCTAAGTATTTTCAAAAAGAAAAAAATGGATTGAGACAAATATTGTTAACACCAATCCATACAATGAGGATGGAATTATTTCTTAGTACTAAAATGTTGATAGATATGTTAAAGGATTGGATAGCTTTTAAAAGATGAAAATGAACAGTAGAACACTATATTAACAATGCCTCTTACAGTCATCAGCATCAATATCACATGAACACAGTGCTTACAAGTGTTCTACTCGCTGACGTTTGTAGTCTTCATGACTACCTTAAGGGCTAGGGGCTATTACCTCTACCTTAGAGATGAGGAAACTGAGAAATTGCAAAAAAATGGGGATGTACAAGTGTCTATAAAGTAGTTAAAGGTCAGGCTCTATTTGCTATAAATGAGAGTATAGCATATATTTGTCAAATAGTAGAAAAGAGCAGACAGAAAGATAAAAACTGAGGACACTGCAGAAATAACATTTTTATTTCTTTATAAACAATCTTATTTTACATATCAATGCCCTGTTCCCTCTCCCTCCTATCCTCCCATGGCCCCACCAAACCCTACCCACTCCCCAAGGATAGTGAGGCCTTCCATGGGGGATCCTCAAAGTCTGTTGCATCATTGGGGGAGGGCCTAGGCACTCTTCTGTGTATCTTGGCAGAAATAGTATCCCTCCATAGGGAATGGGCTCCCAACATTCATTTGTGCACTAGGGATTAATACTGGTTCCACTATTAGAGGTCCCATAGACTATCCAGGCCTGTTTCTGTAGGTTTCTCCAGCAAGGTCTTGACTCCTTTGCTCATCTCTCCTCCCCCTCTACAAATGGATTCCAGGAATATGGTTCAGTGCATAGCTGGAGGTGCCTGCTTCTGCTTCTGTCAGCTACTGGATGAAGGCTCTAGGATGGCAATTAATGTAGTCATCAATCTCATTATAGGGGAAGAGCATCAAAGGCAGCCTCTCCACTACTGCCTAGATTGTTAGTTGGGGTCATCTTTGTAGACCTCTAAACATTTCTCTAGTGCCAGTAAAACTATACTGACTCTATCTTCTTCTGGCCTCTACTAGCACTACATTCAAATGCATCTCTCTCTCTCTCTCTTTCTCTCTCTCCCTCTCTCTCTTTCTCTCTCTCCCTCTCCCTCACATACACACTTACACACCCAAATAAAAATAAATCTTATAAAAAGAAATATTTGAATTTTAGAGGAGAGGGATGCAGAAAAGAAAAGGGAGAGTGTAATACTGAAATGTGAAGACAAAACATGAAGATGCATCTTAAGAAGGGCCAAAGATGAAGCAAAGAAAATTATTAATCACCAGAAAGAAAAGGATAACTATTGAGAGCTCTATATTCTGGATCGTGCAAGGTAGAATCACAAGAAAGTGAGGCTTTATGAGCTAAGTATAATGCCTTAATGCTTATTTTGAAGTGCAGTATCCAGACAGAACAGAAGTACTGAAGGTTGATGAAACCATTATTTTCCTAGCATGGCAGAGTCTACACCTTAGATCCCAGAAGGTGGGCGTGAATGAGGCTCAAAACTACACGATAAAATCTTAGCTCTTTTTATGGCTCTACAAGTGATTCATCTAGTGACCTTCATGAGGCACAACCTATTTCCTTTCTTCAGTTCTACATTTATTAACACTAGCTTCTGCCTGCCTTGCAGCAACATAGAAAGTAGAAATTGGATAAGGCCCACAGACCATTTAGAATTTCTTGAAAGACTCACTCTGTAGCACCTGTTATTAATATTGTAATGTTAATTAGTTTTATTCTTGATTCCACCAGAAAGCTTTGAAGGAAAGCTACTTGGAGAAATTGAATCAGGTCTTTGACAAGTATGTAATTGTGACAGTTAGGGAACTTTTGCCTTACCTCATCATAGAACTTCAGGATGACCATGAAATGTAGGCTAAGCTGTATTTCCACTGCTTACCTCAGCAGAACACATACTAAAATTGGAACAACACAGAACTAGCTCAACATGATATACACATTTATGAAGTACTCTAAACCACCCAAGATAGAGTATATCTCCTAGGATAATACAAATACTAAAATATGTGAAAAATATTCCAAATGTTAAAATTATCATTGAGTGCCAAAGAAAAATGTGCATTTGACTAAGACAGGGGCATTAGAACTTCAAGGCCAGCAGAAGGATGGGTTCTGTCTTCGTATCCATTCTGCTAGTCTGTGTCTTTTTATAAACAAGTTGAGGCCATTGACATTGAGGGATATTAGTGACCATTGATTGATGATTCTTGTTTGTGCTTGATTTATTGGCAGTGAAGTTATTTTGGGTAGTTTCTCCTCCCTTTTTCTTTCCGTGTTTTGTAAAGTGGGATTATATATTGCCTGTGTCAACAATAACACAAATAGCAGAAATCCTACAAACTCATGGAAATTGAACAATGCACAATTGCACCATCCCTGGGTAAAGGAAGAAATAAAAAAAAGAAATTAAAGACTTCCTGGAATTCAATGAGAATAAAGACACAGCATACCCAAACTTATGGGACACTCTGAAAGCAGTGCTGAGAGGAAATTTCATAGCACTAAGTGCCCACATGAAGAAACTGGAGAACAGTCACACTAGAGAATAGCATACCTGAATGCTCTAGAACAAAAAGAAGCAAACTCACCCAGGAGGAGAAGACACCAGGAAATAATCAAATTGAGGGCTGAAATCAATCAAGTAGAAACCAGGAAAACATTGAGAAGAATCAATGAAACAAAGAGTTGATTCTTTGAGAAAATCAACAAAATAGACAAACCTCTGTCCAAACTAACCAAAAGACAGAGAGAGAGCATGCTAATTAACAAAATCAGAAATGAAAAAGGGGACATAACAACAGACTCTGAGGAAATCCAGAGAATCATCAGGGCATACTTTGAAAATCTGTACTCCACAAAATTTGAAAATTTAAAGGAAATGGACAATTTCATCGATAGATATCACTTGCCAAACTAAATCAAGAACAGATAAGCAACCAAAACAGACCTATAACCTGTAATGAAATAGAAGCAGTCATCAAAAGTCTCCCAAACAAAAAAGCCCAGTCCCGGATGGCTTCAGTGAAGAATACTACCAGAAATTCAAAGAAGAGCTAATTCCAATAGTCCTCAAAGTATTCCACACAATGGAAACAGGAGGCTCACTGCCAAACTCTTTTTACGAGGCTACAATTACCTTGATACCCAAGCCACACAAAGACACAACTAAGAAAGAGAACTTTAGACCAATTTCCCTCATGAACATCGATGCAAAAATATTCATTAAAATACTAGCAAACCAGATTCAAGAACTCACCAGAAAAATCATCCACCATGATCAAGTACGCTTCATCCCAGGAATGCAGGGATAGTTCACCATTAGAAAATCTATCAATGTAATCCACCATATAAACAAACTGCAAAAGAAAAACCACATGATCATATCACTAGATGCTGAAAAAGTCTTTGACAAAATCCAGCACCCCTTCATGATAAAGATCCTAGAGAGATCAGGGTAATAGGAACATACCTGAATATGATAAAAGCAATATACAGTAAACCAATAGCTAACATCAAACTAAATGGAGAGAAACTCAACGCAATTCCTCTAAAATCAGGAACAAGACAAGGCTGTCCACTCTCTCCATATCTCTTCAATAGTGTACTTGGAGTTCTACCTACAGCAATAAGACAACAAAAGGAGATCAGGGGGATACAAATAGGAAAAGAAGAATTCAAGCTTTCACTATTAGCAGATGATATGGTAGTTTACA